GGTGACCGCCGGGCCATGTCGTGACTCACGGAGAGGTGACCGCCGGGCATGTCGTGTGACTCACGGAAGGTGACCGCCGGGCCATGTCGTGACTCACGGGAGGTGACCGCCGGGTCATGTCGTGACTCACGGGAGAGGTGACCGCCGGGCCATGTCGTGACTCACGGGAGAGGTGACCGCCGGGCCATGTCGTGACTCACGGGAGAGGTGACCGCCGGGCCACGTCGTGACTCACGGGAGAGGTGACCGCCGGGACATGTCGTGACTCACGGGAGAGGTGACCGCCGGGCCATGTCGTGACGCACGGAAAAGGTGACCGCCGGGCCATGTCGTGACTCACGGGAGAGGTGACCGCCGGGCCATGTCGTGACTTACGGAAGAGGTGACCACCGGGCCATACCGTGACTCACGGGAGAGGTGATCGCCGGGTCATGTCGTGACTCACGGGAGAGGTGACCGCCGAATCATGTCGTAACTTACGGAAGAGGTGACCACAACAACAAACATGTCATACCGATCCCGTGAACGTGCACCGACGGACGACCTCGACTTTCGAGCAGCGCTAAGACCGTTAGTGGCTAAAGTTTTGTTGCAACTGAGTTGCTGTAGAGCGCCCCGACCAAGAATGTCGATCACGCAGGAGAGGGTGTGTGGGGAGAGTGAGGTCGGAGGGGCACGGAGGTCGAAGGCGGCAATTACTTCCCCTGGAGGCCCGCAGTGGCTTTGATTGGCTTTCTTTTCACGCAGCGTTGGAATGAACAAGAACCAGAGTGGAGGGAAGGGGAGGGGGAGGGAGACATGAAGTTTTCGTTAGACTGCTCTTACCATGTAAAGCCACAGCCATATCATGAATAGGGGGGGGGGGGGGGCTTGCCTTCTGTCCATCCTTTGAAGGGGCATATTAAGGATACTTCCTCTTATCCGTTACTGACCCGTTCGCTGAATCTTAACTCTGTCGTGCCAAAAAGCATGCTTCTGTCTTCGCGTCCTGGACAAATGGAACCTCTCCATCAATCCGTCCGCTCAACAACGGCTCATTTGATGATGCATCACTCTAGCGTCATACGACACTGCAGCTGTCCAGTCGCGGTCCTGGAGGCGGTCCTCCCCGAGGTCGTGACCCCGGCACCAGGCGCCAGGCGGTCATGCCCCGAACGCTGGCCTCACTTTGGGGGGGGGGGGGGGGGCTGCCGACGTCGGTTAGATTACAGTAAATGAGAATTTGTCATGTTCGCGTGTGTCGGAAGGTATATATAGACTGAACTCGTTTTCTGGCGCGGTACCGATCCTTTTCTAGTGTGCATTTTTGAGGCCGGTTTAAAGCGATGTCTGGAACTTGCATACGGCTTAGGATGGCTGGCATGCACTGTCATTTGTGAGTGATTGTGCATTTTTATTTCAAACACGCGATTTTCGTCGCTGGTCTTTGTAGTCTAACCTTGCTTGATCGGCATGAAGCTGCCTTTCCTTGGGTAGTATAGTTTGGGGAAAAGTCAATGGCTGAGAGATTCTCTACGTCAACCAACTAGGAATTGTATGAGTTTAGCGACCGGGTCTATCCAGGCCCGACCAGTAACACTCCTGATGGGCTTGGTCTTCGTATTTGCCGATAACATCGCCATAAACTTGTCAGCTACATGTAATGTACTTATTAACAAGCTTTCAAACAATATTTTTGAAAACTTCGGTGCCGTTTGTTCGGTGCTGGTGGCATATTTCCACAACGGTGCAACATCACCAGTGTTTCAACCCCTCATTCATTTGACTTTCAGTTGGAAGAAAAAAGTTGTGCTTTTCAGTTGTTTTTTTTCGCTCTTCAATCATAGCGTAAACCATCTTAGGTTGCGCGTGGGATATTTGTCATATTCACGATTTTTTGTGTCTTTTTTTGGCGTTCGTGAGATACCGCGGCCATTTATGTTTTTTGGGTATCATCGAATTGATATACGCTTTTGACTTTCTCAAAACAATGAAAATGTATGGCTTGCACACGACTCATTTCACCTGGTTTTTGGAAACAAACACGCCGACAGCATTACTCATGGCTTCCAGTCTCAACAGCGTAATTTTTGTTGTCGGTTTTCTCATTTTCGTGGGGTTTAAGGATCAGAACGGAAGCTACTATCCAAATAAACGTTCGTTCAAAATTTTTTCTTTCCTTCTTTTGGGTGACAGAGCCGGCCTACTCTTGCCATGTTAAGGAGTATACACGATTTTTCTGCGCATGTATGATATTTCACCAGAAAAGCAGACCTTATTTTTAGTTTCATCAGTGGCGCTACTTGTCGGCGAACCTCTCGCACCTGTGGGTTGCAGCATCTTGTGCACTGTGCATTGTTTGTGCATTGTGTTTGTGCATTTTTAAGTGCATGTCGTGCCACTGCGGTAGACAGAGAATGGTGCCCTGTGCACCAGGATCTGGAGTTAGGCGGGGTGCACTAGCAACCTTCCCGCGAATCGCTGATCGGTGTTCGGTGTTCGGTGTCCGGTGTTCGGTGTTCAGCGTTCGGTGTTCGGTGTTCCGTGTTCGGTGTTCGGTGATCGGTGATCGGTGATTGGTCAGCGATCAGCGATTGGTTCGAGGCGTCTCGATTCGAGGCGTGGCCTCGGTGGCGTCCGGGGATTACAACTCCACCCTAGCGCCCCTCCCCCTCGTCCGATTCCGAGCGGAGACAGAACCACCACACCGCCTGTACCGGTACGCCGCGTACTGAGCCAGGACCGCATAGCTAACGAAGTCGGATGATGCTCGGGAGAAACGCCCATCCATCGACGAATCCTACCCAGTACAGACAAACTGCAGTCAGCCGGTGATCTGCGCGCTCCAGCTCCGGCCTCCTCAGCTCCCCTCCCCGGCGCTGGGCGAGGGATGGCCGCGTGCCAGCTCCGACCTCCTCAGCTCTCCTCCCGGCGCTGGGCGAGGGATGGCCGCGTGCCAGCTCCGTTCTTCTCAGCTCCCCTCCCCGGCGCTTGGCGAGGGAAGGCCGTGTGCCAGCTCTGTCCTTTTCAGCTCCCTTCCCCGGCGCTGGGCGCGCGTCGCCGCTGACGCCCGGTGCCGATTTGGGAGGAGCAGCCAACGACCCCCGCCGCTGGTCCCACGCCGTTCCCGTTTATTTGTGCACGTTCCGGCGGTCGAAATAATGTCTTTTACCACCTCCTGCGAGCGGCAAGGTCACGTGGTCTGACCCTCTGCAGACGGATCTTGAGACTGAGCCCACGTGTAGGTTGTATCGGTGACGTAGCGCACAGATATCTGTGCGGCAATCGGCAACGATACCGACATGGATGTTACGCCATGGCCGGGCTCACGGTGACTGATTGGACTACTGGCTGGTCCAAGGTCGATTATCATCGTCAGGAAGCCCCGCCAGCGGGTGGGTGAGGACGGCCGGACCTAGCGTGCCCAATCCCACCTATCCCCCCCCCCCCCCCCCCTCCTCTGTGCACATCATCCTGGGCTTTTGCAAATTGACGTCGGCTTACAATGAGTCTCACGAATCGAATTATTGGACTGCTGAGATGTGTACCTGCGAAAAATTTGGGTAGCATTGTTTAAAATTCGACTGCTTGGTTCACTGGGTGATAAACCGGAACGCAACCAAAGCGTGTTTCACATAGCTACAAAAACAAGCAAACCCAAAACCTGGACATGCCGTTAAAGAAAAAGGGCGTCGCAAATCCGCACAATGTATGGAACGCTACTTGGACCCTGCTGAACGTGATCGTACGACGGCACAGTTTCGAGGTTTTTGTTGACGAATGCCTGCACTCGGATACGGATTGGATACGGATCGGGTACGGATATGGACTCGGCAGCAGATCAGCAACCCGGCAACAGATCGGTCACTCAGCAACAGATCGGCCACAGAGCAACGGATAAGCCACTCGGCAACAGATCAGCTATTCGACTGCAGATCAGGAACCCGACAACAAATCGACCTCTCGGCTTCAGATCGGCCACATGGCAACAGACTTGCCGCATGGCTGCAGATCGTCCACTCGGCAACACTCGGCGTGCGTGCGGGAGGGGGCTCTGATGTGCAGCGAGTGCACGTGGTCAGGCACCTGGGGGAATAGTGGCATACCTGGGCGCACCCGCGGCCGCGTGGCCTTGACCACGACCTGGACCATACGCCGGTCGGACCACGGCCAGCTGCCGCCAGCGAGGTGCGCCGCACGGCTTGCGCAGACGGCGTGCGTCCTGTGTCCAGCGTGTGTGGCGCGCTGCCCAGCGTGTGTTCTTTGTCCGGTGTATGTGGCACGCTGCCCGGTGTATCTTGTGTCCGGCGTATATGGCGCGCTGCCCGGCGTGTGTACTGTGTCCAGCCTGTGTGGCACGCTGCCCGTGATGTGTCCTGTGTCCGGTCTGTCTGGCACGCTGTCCGACGTGTGTCCTGTGTCCGGTGTACGTGGCTCGCTGCCCGGCGTATCTTGTGTCCGGCCTGTGTGACACGCTGCCCGTGATGTGTCCTGTGTCCGGCCTGTGTGACACGCTGCCCGTGACGTGTCCTGTGTCCGGCCTGTGTGGCACGCTGCCCGGCGTGTGTCCTGTGTCCGGCCTGTGTGGCACGCTGCCTGGCGTGTGTCCTGTGTCCGGCGTGTGAGGCACGCTGCCCGGCGTGTGTCCTGTGTCCGGCGTGTGAGGCACGCTGCCCGGCGTGTGTCCTGTGTCCGGCGTGTGAGGCACGCTGCCCGGCGTGTGTCCTGTGCCCGGCGTGTCCTGCCGGACGGGGCAGCCACTGATGAACGGAGACGGGCCGCTGACGCGCGCCGGTCCGTGTCGCAGCCAAATGTGCTGAGCAGTGACTGCTTTTGTCGGCAGTACGTCGTAATGCGTTCATGCTTCCAGTTTCTGTTTGGCCGCGAGTGCACCGAGAGGATAGACAACGCATGTCGTGTTTCTTGCTGTGCAGTCGTTGAACGCCGTGTGTAAGATGTGATGTCATCAAACAGCGAAGAAAGAAAACAGAATGTCACAAGTGTTTTTTGCTCGCTTCCAGGACGTTCCAGTTGATCGCAGGGCTGTTCCTGTTCCTCATCTGCGTACATGGGCGACGGAAATACCCCCCGAAGGTAGGTGACAGGCGAAAGGGAGTGGAGGGAGAGGGCCAGATTTGTGTGTCGGCATATGTGTGCGTGTGTGTGTGTGCGTGTGTGTGTGTGTGTGTGTGCGTGTGTGTGTAGGGCATACTGTCGTATTATACGGAAAACTACTATCAAAGTCTGCCCAGCGCCTGAATGATCTTTGGATCCCAGGTGGCGGTTAGCCGACTTGTGCACGGTGTCAGACTGTTTCTGGGTAAGCCGCATTTTGTAGTATCCTTCGCGAACAGATAAGCAAAGAATGCGGATAACCACCTTAGGTCAGTGTAGATGCGAGTGTCATATGCATATTTATGCTCTTCGCCTGCCAGTTTCCCAGAAAATGACGGTCTTCGATGACCTGGATTGACCCTGTTCACGCTCCCTGCCCGTCCCATTAACACGGCATCAGGCCGTCACCGAGTGCAAGCCTGGTCGCCGGAGCTTTCGATCTCCCTGGGAGAATCCCATTTTTGTCACCCGAATTTGATATTCAAATCACCCGAAGGGTTGTTAAGAGTACTAAAGAACTGAAAACCTTCGTTACTTTCAACGAAATCTGACCCTTTTGGCCACCTCATCTGTGCTTGTGGAGCCGCGTCCCAGCCGCGTCAGCCGCCTTGTCTTTGTGAGGCGCCGCAGTATCTTCCTATTGAAGTCAGCTTAATGTACGACATCGTCAGCAACAGCAGCGAATCCAGCAGTACGAGAATGCCCACGTTACTCCAACCCGCGCCCGCAGCGCGCTAACTGTCCTGCTCCCATTGTGTGTTGCGTCATCTTCCCTTGGAGTGCCGGCACAGCACATACATGGTCTTGAGCAGTATTCATTTGTACTTTGTCCGTCCACGGCCTGGGCATTTGTTGATAAACTATGAAATAATTTTGTTTATTGGTGTATCGTATGACAGGCATACAACGTTATTTTTACGTTGATACGCCACTCACCTCTCTACAATCCAGCCGAAACCTGACAACTTCAGTTTCAAGGCACAAGATCAATTTCGTCTTCCATCAGCAGTGCTGAGCCCTCGTCAACACTCATGCAGCGAAATCGCTGGACATTCGAAAACGATTACCTAGGCTTGCGGTCACCTCCACACTTGAAGTCAAGAATTGCTGTCTGCAGCCACTGTCTTATTCTCCCGCTTTAATAAACGTGCACGGCGTAAGGAATGCTTGTATACTGTTCTGTGCGTACTTTTCAATGACATGTGCCATGGCGAGTTGCTTCGCTCGTTCTTTGCGAATTATTTCTGTGACAGCCGCCGAAGGTACCACTCTGCCTTTCGAGTAACCGAGAAACGTTCTTGATCGTTTTTCTGGGGTTCCTGGACGCCTCTATTTTGTAGATGTCAAACATCCCTTGTCATCCGTTTACCGCAACGGCATGCGCGACGTAGATTTGTGCATCGTACACTGCGCGAGGGACATCGGCTGTGTGAACGACCTCTCACAGTTTTTTCAAGGCTGAGTGACAGTGACTTGCAAGCTGGCCTATAGAGTGTCCGGACCAAAATTCGACTCTTCGTTTACTGAACGTTTTTTGTCGGCTGCTATATAAACTAAAAAAATTAATACTGGCAACGTGCGAAAAGTCGATGAACCAAAAAGTCCAATAAATGGCGAATTAAATGGCTGACTGCAAAATGGCGACATGAAAGAATGGCGACAAACTAACATGTTGACTCGCCGAAATGGCGAACGACTGAATCGTGAACGGAAAAATGTCGACGTACTAAAACGTCGACGTGCCGACATGGCGAACGTCTAAACGTCGACGTGCCGACATGGCGAACGTCTAAATGTCGACGTGCCGACATGGCGAACGTCTAAATGTCGACATGCCGACATGGCGAACGTCCAAATGGTGAGCTGCCAAAGGGCCTTGCTCGTTAACAAATGGCGTCATGGCAAAATGGAAACACACCAAAATGACAGAAACTAAATGGCGACAGGAAAAAAGCGACAGGCTCAAGTGGAAGGCGAGAAAACACTATTCTTTTTTATGGGAGCACAGAGTAGTGAATTTCCATCATATCTTTGATGACCGCTGCACCCAGCACGACTGTATTTAAAAACGGCTCCCGTGTCTTTCCTTCTGCGGGGAAAAGAGCGAGATTAATGTTTCGTTCTAATCTTCATCGGATAGATCTGCAGACACGGACCACAAACCTGTCATTAGAGCACTTTTACCAAGTCTAGTTCAGGAATGTCGGCACCGGAAGGGATGACGGCGGTGAAAAACACCCACGGCGCAATGTCGTCAAGGTAAAGTGCCCGGACCACGCCGCCGTGCTATGGAAATTCACACGAAAGAAAACCTTTCAAGGTTTTCGGCGTTGCGTTCCAAAACCTTTGACACCTGGGTCGGAAAGTTAGATGCCGCCCGAAGCGAACCTTTAACGATTGCTTTCCAAAATACATGACCCAAAAAAGACAAGCAGCTCCACAGGGTGAGAAACGGAAATGTATGCCCCCCCCCCCCCGCAGCGCAGCGCCACGCTGCCTCCGAGCCGCTTAGAGTCGAGTTTCACTCTCCAGCTAGAGTGTCGGTCAGCCTTATTGATGCCCAGAAGCGGGAACAGAACGTGCGGAAGTGCGCATTGGTTAGGAGCCTGGTACGAAAATACCTAACTGCGAGAAAATTGGAAAAAATATTGTTCTGTATCAGGGGTGGAAAACGCGGTTCGACAGGCGTGGTACCGGCCGGGTGATCCTCCAGTTACGTTACCAGCCTTGCTTCTATAAAATCAATGGAAGAGATCAGCTATGTTTTCTAGTCGGTGACCGCTCACCGCCGCTGGCTGCCATGGATGCCTGCCGTTAATTCGATGACCAGCGAGGCCAGACTGTGGCCCATCTTATCATTGATGACAGTTCACACTTTGAAGTGCATCCTGTGTTGTGCTGTTTGTGGCATACTGTAACGGTCTGGGATATTTCGGAAGTGATGCTTTGGTTATGTGGTTTTGCCACTCGGTTTTCCCATTTCGACTTAACCGTCATAACGCTATTTGTCACTCATTCCTTACAAAGTGGGCGGAAATGCCTTTCGACCCAATTACTTTTACACCCGACACGTTCATTAGCAAGCCCGTGAAGTCATGCTTCGCAATCCATTAGGATCACGTCACTCCACACCCTTTTTCTTGTAGAAGTTGCAAGCGCAACACCGTCATTAGCGAAAGAGTGTCACGAAAACCGCACAAGGACAGATAGCAGGACTAGCGACATTCACAGGGACATGGCGACATTCTTACCTCTGCAGCGATCCAGGACCTTCAGAATGAAAGCCATTTGCTACTTCCTAGCCTGAGCAGAGCAGGACGATATAATGCATTTTTCTCAGCAATGCTTTCACAAAGTGATGACGTAATTGCCTCATAGCATTGACACCTCGGCTTAGAAGAGTCATTTCACACTACTTATACAGTGGAAATGAGGCGTGAGTATCCGTGGCAAGGAAAGGTAGGTGACGAATAGGTTTATCACCGACATCAGTGGTAATACCATAACAAGAAACATGAACTAAAGTAACGGAACAATTCGCCTTACTGAGGGAACCGACCAAAAAATGTAAGCGATCAGCAGCGGATCTTAAACTGGTGTCAAAATGATGGCACCTAACGTTGACGACAGACTTCCGTCAAAACCAGCCACTGCGTTCACGATCGCGGTGTATGAAGGGTCACCACACCGTTGTGACCCGCTACTTTTGAGAAAAAGTAGCGGGAACTGCGTGTACTTTTAGGAAAATACAATTTTACGCTTGCAGGCCATTTGCGCCCATTGACGCAAATGTATCCCACACCATTACATGCGCATACCCAATAAATATCTTTGTTTTAATTTCATAAACATGAACGTCTCCGTTTTAAAACGCATCATGACTTATTTCATCATGCTCGCAAGACTGTAAGCATAGACTGGCATAGACTGCAAGCTCGCATTGTTGCGAGCTTGCAGTCTATGTCAGTCATCTCACTTGTAGCATAAACTTGAATGCATGTACCACGACAGCTTGCGGACATGCCTCGCTAACATTGGATAGTTTGGCTTACATGAGATAGTTAAGCGCAGTCAAGGAACGTTTAAAACAGAGGCTAGGGGTTCAACGGCTCGTGACGTATTGGAAATTTTCTTTAAACCCACGATATGACATGGAGAGACTGAGATTACGTGTTTTCGCTCCCAAGACGCTAGTGACGTGACTCATGCAAGCGTAATTATACGACGTGTTGACAACACGGATAACGTACTGTTCAAATGCCAGGGGTGTATGAGCATTGCCCATGTGTCCGGTATAGCCGTGGACCCTTGGAGGCTCTGGAGAGCTCCCGCCCGGACGCTTCCAGCCGGGCGGAGGTCAGGGCAGTCGACCACGGGGTCGCGAGGCACCAGCGCCTGCGTCAGCACCGAGAGGGTAGTGTAGGAGTGCGGCGGCTGCTTGGGATGCCGGCAGCACCGAGCGGATGACGGAGTAGTCTCCATAGTATGATATTATGGTCCTCCGGAGTATGAGAGAATAGTCCCGGGAGTATGGCAGAAAAGTCTAAGGAGTATGAGAAAATGATATCCGCAATATGACCGAAAAGTCTCCGGAGTATAGCAGAATGGTCTCCGGAGCACGAAAGAATAGTCTCCGGAATATGACACAATAGTCTCCGGAGTATGATAGAATACTCCTCGGAATATAACAGAATAGTCTCCGGAGTATGACATAACAGTCTCCGGAGTATGATAAAATAGTCCTCGGAACATAACAGAATAGTCTCCGGAGTATGACGGCACATGAGATAGTGCTGGCGCTCCAAGTGAATGCCGTAGACGATTTTCATACATAAAGACATGCCATCTGCGAGCACGAGCAGTGCTACTCGAGAAACATTTCGCGCTGCTGTGATCTGAGGGCACCTGCTTCATCCTGACTCGGTACGGCGCCTAAGAAGCCTGTTCAGTGGGCGTCTGCGATGGGAATAAAAGTTATTTGGCCCTGAAGTGCAAGGCTGTTTCAGTAGCAATCCGTCCAGAGGTAGTTGTAAAAAGTACAAACAAAAGATGTCAGTTGCTTCGCCAAGCTAAGACATGTGCATGCAAACGTCGACTTTACCTTTACCGCAACCCGCAAGCCATTAACGACACATTGTTCTGTCATCAATTCTGAAAGGTGACACTGAACACTGTTTATTGATGCACGCAAATGGTTCTGTAATTATTGCCAGATCCCACAGGAGCTGGCGTTCTCAGTCTGTGAAACACGATTTGTGCAGAAGTCAACCGTAATGTTTTGTGACCGCAAACCCGGTAAGATACCACTTACGTTGTAAGATACCACTCTTGCAATAATCTTAAAGTGAGACACGGATTTTGGAAGGCGTTCTGGTCTTTTTCCGAGGGTTCTGATTCATTTATCGTTGGATTGTTTATGCTGCAATGTTATATTGCGCTAAACTTACTTCTGGTGGCCTTGTGCACTAGTATTCATATATAAGCCGTCGAAGCACCCTTCCGATGCCATGCTGGCTGACCCAGCGCATAGTCACAGGCACAGCATAGCGATGCTGTGCGGGACCGTCAGCCAAAACATCTGCTTGACTGTGTTTTTGAGCACGGCTGATTCTGTGTGGCAATTGGACGGTCCAGACATATGCCAAGTCGAGCGATCCCGGGCGAATTTTATATTCCCGGTTGCGTCTAAAAGTGAGACATACAGCTGTGCTTGCCGTGTCCACTACCTGGGCTTGACGATTAATCTCATCACACATCGGACTCTACTGCGCAGAAATGTTGAAGTGCCGGTGCATCAGACGGCCGTAGAAATGCCTGCCTGGTCTCCTGATCTCCTTTTCCGATCTCCTGATCTCCCGATCTCCCGACCTCCTGATATTCTGAGTCAGACGGCTGGCGGCGGGCGGCCTGTAACGGCTTCCCAAACGTAACTCCAACCGGCCGACGCGCTGATGTTTTACCCGACGCCGACTAGATGCGTTCCAGCAAGGTTTGTAATCAAACATTTATCAGGCGTCCGTGTTTAGGACTGCAATGTGGGCCACCAGTTTGGTGATAAATGGTGCACGTAATCATGTCAGACCGGTAAAGCTAGCACCCATTCAGAATGTAAACGAACTGCAACACGATCAAATTCGCAAACTTCTTGTCATGCCCCGTCTTAGTTACGACCATTTTTGTGTGACATTATTATGGCGTCATGGATGCTTGGGTGGCCTTAAAATAGTCTGCACATCCTCGCGGGCATGTAGCTCAGAAGCTAGAGCGGCTTAGGTCTAAAGAAGGGCAGGGCTGTAAACCACACCGAATGATATTCAGGATGACTGTATCAGTTCAAAATCCTACGCGAATGTGAGATACTCCAATGAACATAAGGCATGCGCATTTCTACCACATACATATACATACATATATATATATATATATATATATATATATATATATATATATCATACAAACTCATATATATATATATATATATATATATATATATATATACCTATATATACGAGGTAGGAATACACATGGCTTATGTTCGTTGGATTGTCACACAATCACAATGTGTGTGTGTGTCACACACACACACACCCACACCACGCCACACCCACACCCACACCCACACCCACACCCACACCCGCACCCACACCCACACCCACACACCCACACCCACACCCAACCACACCCACACCCACACCCACACACCCACACACAAACACACCCACACACACAAAACACACCCCCACACACCACACACACACACACACACACACACAAACACACACACCACACACACACCACACACACACAACACACACACCCACACACAGAGAGAGAAGAGGAGAGAGGGAGCAAGAGCAGATAAGAGAGAAGATCTAGCACACCGAGGAGAGAGATGAGAGAGAGAGGGAGAGACCGCACCTAGATCCCAGAGACAGAGACACACACACAACCCACGGAGAGAGAGAGAGAGAGAGAGAGAGAGAGAGAGAGAGAGAGAGAGAGAGAGAGAGAGAGAGAGAGAGAGAGAGAGAGAGAGAGAGAGAGAGAGAGAGAGAGAGAGAGAGAGAGAGAGAGAGAGAGAGATATATATATATATATATATATATATATATATATATATATATATATATATATACCAATGACTGATAGGTGAAGAAAAGTGTTTTAAACAGGTATAGTATTTAGGAACCACAAACAGTTCCGTACAGTTGAACTCCTGACAATTCGCTCGGGTCCGAATACCCGATGTCTGTGGAAGCCCTATCCCTGTTGCTGGCGGCTATAGCAGGTCTTTTCAGCTGAGTGCATATGGCAACATCTCCCTCCAGTTCGCGCTTACCTGCTGGCGCTGCCCGGAGGGTTGGTTTTGTTTTGACTCAGATACGACTTGGCTCTCACGGGTGGAATAATTGCTCGGACTATCACCCCCGTCTGGCGCGTAGGTATGTACACAACGCTTCGGCCGGTTAACTCTCCGGTCCCGTCGTCAGGTGCTGTGGAGACCTGAGCAGGGCTGAGTGGCTTTTTGGCTTCAGCCATGTATGCGTCACAATCTGAATTGTCTCCATGGAATCGCTGGAATGCGAGCTCTTGGAGCTTGAAACTTAGACTCACAATCGGGAGAACCTGATTGAAACCTAGTTGAAACGCCACACTGGTATGACCGCAAAGTTGTAAGCCTGCCAAAAAGCATTTGGGCGGGTTGGGCCACTCATCTAAACACAAAGCTCTATCTCATTTCGTAAAAGCTTTGCGAGCGGGGCCGCGGCTCGGTCAGGATGAAACACTCCATTCTGCCCACTCCCAGCCAACATTAAACACTCCATTCTGCCCACTTCCAGCCAACTTGGCCGGTATGCTCGAGTGATGTTTATGAGACAAGACCAACAATAACAATAGTTTATTGCAAAGCTTCACAGGACAGTTGCCGGTGATACGTGGAATAGCTGTTTTGGGCGATGTTTTTACGCCTGCAACTTGACGGATTGCTGTTAAAACATTGCGAGTTCTGCAGGTTTTTGAGACAATGTCCCGTCGGCTGGGACATTGTCACTAGCCCGTCGAGCATATAGTCATGCGAATGATCCCAACGGCATATTTCATTTTGTGTATTCTTTAACAGTTGCATGTTCTGCTGTGCCGAAGGACGTGCGCTAGGAGTTGGGAGTTCCCATTCGGACAATACTCGACCCTCAGTATACCGGAAATCCCCAACGGTATCAATCAAATGCTGATGATCAAGAGTCAGACCAGCCACTTATGACCATCGGCTGTGTCGGAGATGTCCAGTTTTGTTGATATAACCAATGCTGGTTTGATAGCGCCGTCAAACCAGTACCTTCCGGTGTACTAAGGGTTGTTATCACAAGAACTCCCAAAGCACAATGCCGAAAACCAGGGCTTTATTCGCCGTCCAGGTTTGTTTGGTTCGCTGTGTCAGGTGTGCATGCTCTGTTCTGTGTTCAGGTTTGTTTGGTCAGCCATGTCAGGTGTGGGTGTGTTCTGTCCTGTGTTCAGGTGCACGCGATGGTGCAGGAGCATCTGGCACGCCGCCAGTGGGGTTCTCAGCTGGGCGAGTGGTCGGGCTGGGGCGGCTGGTCGCCTTGCTCACTCTCCTGCGGCGGAGGCGTCACCACCCAGACGCGCCACTGTCTGCAGAGCGCCAACAGCACCACCAGGTATCGGAGGAAGAAAGAGAAGGACGAGGGGTTGGAGGAGGAAATACGGAGAAGGGAAGAAGAGAGGGAGGGTTGTAAGGGAAAGGGGAGGGAGGAGGAGAGGAGAAATGGCGGCCATGGCTGTAGGGGGAGACGGGAGATGAGAAAGGGGGATGGAGAGAAATTTGTTAATCTGGCTGGAGCAAGGGATTCAAGAAAAATGAGAACGGGTGATAAACCAGCGAAGGATTTGCGTTGCACTGCCTCAATCCGCTGTGTTCTTCTGCAGTATGTATCGCTGCTGGTGGGGACACCTTCAGCAGTTCAGTACGTGTCCCCGCTGCTGCTGGGGACACCTTCAGCCGTTCAATACGTGTTCCCGTGCTATTCCAGCGGGCCGCGCCGGCGGCTCAGAACTTCGCAGTGTATCGGCATATTCAGGCGCTTCCACATCTGCAGCGAGCGGGTGAGTATCGGCGACGGGCTATAGAGGACCATGATAAGACCAAGGGCCACTCGCCGACCACACCGCGCGTGTTTTTCAGACCAAGTGCATCATTGTCGCACAGCGCGCTTCCGAGGTGCCCGTGCTATCCGTGCGTCGGTACAGTCCTGCTCTTGGATGATGCGCTGCATTTCGATGGGTGGCGATCGGTTTTGATTTTGTATTTTGATGGCCCAAAATGTTTGTAAGGTTGTTTAAGTTGACGGAACAGGAGTGACGACAGCTGAACAGACGTGGGAAGTGGTTCTTCGTAACCGAGCGGGCGGGATGGTCGTTTGGGCGGGCGTACGTTAATTGTAATCGAATTCTTTCGGTTTAATAAGCCACTGCGCACCTCTCACATGTCAGAGATTAATTTAGATTTGGTGTGATACGTTGTTTGCCTTGATTTGATCGTCAGTGTTATGTTTTCCTTCACCCGCTGTTTATGGTTCAATTAGGCAATCGCTGCCTGTGAATTCAACCGATAGACAAAACAACAACACTGGGCTGGTCAAATGTTTGTGCGGCCAGTCGATTCGACGTCAGGCCTGTAGCAACAGCGTCACGGGCGCCTTCCGCTTCCGCGGGCTACGCAGTCACATGCATTGAGTGATGGCAGCTCACAGCTCGGCGTGGACGCTTCCAGAACGACAACTCATCACCATATCTCTAAGTCAGGGCGTTAGCTGAGCGGCGGAGCGGCGTCCAATTGTGTTTGCGCGCTTATTTCACAGTTGGGGTACGACGTCGCCATAATTGTTCTGGATTCGAGATGCCTGGAGATAAAGGACCGCTGAAGGGGCGTGTGACCTGATCGATTACACGGTCTCAAGGTAGTCGATCACGTGACCGTTCGCGCAGCCATAGCCGAGAGCGGGCGCACGTCTGGTTGGCGGCGGGCCAGCGGCGCGCACGGCCTGTACGCCGGACACCGGGTGCCCCGTCGGTGGAGCCGACTCCCGCCTGGGCAGTGGACTGGCCTTCTGCGCCTCCCTGGGGGGGGGGGGGGGGGGGGGGCACAGCCCACCGGGCGAGCGCCGCTGGCATGACCTCATCTGCCCTGGCGTCACTGTGTTCTGACGGCCGCTCTGGCCGCTGTTGGCAGGTGGTGACGTGTGCTGATTTGTGCTGACGGCACCGATGGCCGCACTGAGGTGCCTCGACGGGTGCTGAAGGGTTCCGACGGGTGCTAACGGGTGCCGACGGGCGCCGACGGGTGCCGATACGTGCTGATGGGCGCCGACGGGTGCTGACGGGTGCTGACGGGTGCTGACGGATGCTGACGGATGCTGACGGGTGCTTACGGGTGCTGACGGATGCTACCGGGTGCTGACGAGTGCTGACGGGTGCTGACGGATGCTAACGGGTGCTGACAAGTGCTGACGGATGCTGACGGATTCCGACGGGTGCAAACGATACCAAGGGGTGCTGACGGGTGCCGCCGGGTGCCAACGGGTGCTGACAGCCCCTGAGGGCGCCAACGCATGCCGCTGGGTGTCAGCTTTTGCTGGCGGTCTTCTGACGCGGCTTCTGACGGATTGCCATGGCCGCTGGCCCACGCTAACAAGCAATGACGGGTGCTGACGAATGGATACGGTCTCTGATGGCCTGCTGGTGATGAGTGCTGACAGACGCGGCGGGTGCTGACAGGACTGCCCGGGACCGGCGACAGATTTGCGAGAAGAACAATGCACCAAGTTCAACAAGAAGCCATACAACTCTAAGCTCTACAGGTGGCGACCCCACTACAGCAGTGAGTCCCAGCTTTTTTTCTAAACAAGACCGCACCGATCCTTGGATACACTGCCATACGATACAAAATATGTTCAATGGTTAATTCGCATACTGTGCTGGCTGACAACCGCTGCGTCCCAATACCGTGACGCCCGTCGCTGTGGTTATGTGGTTATATCTTATGATATGTGGTCATACCCTCTTCCGACGCCAGGCCGTTGTTTGCTTCGCTTGTACACAGCGTGAGACCCGGCGCCGCTACCCGCCGGTGTCTTTAGTTCGCTCCGCCCCGCCCGCCCGGCCAGAGCTGCCCCTGACGCGTGCTGCGCCGCACGGCCCGGCCGCCGACCGACGCCGGGCTGGCGGTGGAGCCCGGTAGATCCTGGTAGCGGACGGTAGAGCATCCGTTCTAACGTTCGGGGCCGTCCATAACTTACGCTACGCATTTTTAAACATTTCAACCCTCCCCTGATTTCACTACTTGTTACGCTGGGTGGAAGCCCCCTCCCTTATATTCACGTTATTGCAACGTTCTTTTTTTGGATTGCGGCACGATTTTCAACCACACCCGAGTGTAGCGTTACCATGTGCGAATCCCCATCCCCCAGTCACGCTTTGATTACGTTCCTTAAAGCCTCCCTTTTACGCGCGACTTAATTTATGGATGGCCCCTTTGTAACTGTTGTGATAATGCGTGGAATGGCGCATGCGGCAATACGCCGCCAATGGTACTGTCCGTGATAGCGCAAGCGCACGACGGCATAAGACAGCTTCGGGCTCTGCTGGGAAGCGCAGCGTTCCGTCCCTCCCGGAGACGCGGGAGCGTACGTTACTGATGATAGTCCGTCATGTTCTTCTCGTGTCGATCAGTAGCTGTGGGATATCTGCAGGCCCTCGGACTGGTGATCTGAACGTCACCAACAGATGCTATGAGTCCTGACGTCACGCGGGTAGCCCGCCCGAAAAAGGGCTCGATGACAGTCGAAGGGTTTCTGAGTCAGACAAGATATCTGAGGCGGCCAGTATCTCTGAACTGAGTATAAATGCCGCATATAGAGCCCTGCAATGCAAGACAGTGGAAATCGCCATCATCACTCTCAATGTCCACAAATATTCGGTTCGGTATGTCAGTGAGTCATCTCTCCTGACAAACATTTCTCAGCACTGCTTGGAGTTTGCACCCAGGTCTGACTCCGAGGACCCTGACCTAGGTACGTCACCAATGAGTGGGCTTGAGACAGGTAGGGCATGACCGTTTGTCCACACGCGCTCTGTCTGCTCCAGTGATGGTCTCGGGCCTTTTGTCTCAATGTTTGACCCACAAATCATTGGTCCCTAAACCGCCAGTTTGGCCTCCATAGGTGTCCATAAACCATCAACCCCCCCCCCCCCCAAGACCATCAGTTAGGCCGCGCAGGTGGCCAGCCGACCTACCAGGACTCATACCCCTGTTGACGCCTGGAACAGCATCACGACGAGGTGTAAAGTTTGATTCAGTTTTGGTGTTACAGGCATGGAAAACGAAAAAATAACCAGCTATCTAACACCTCAGTTCCCTTCGTTAGCGTAGTATTCCGGACAATGTAGCTCAAACATCGCTCACCATATCAAACACAGAAACTCATGAGCGATGACGGATGTGGATCTTTTGCTTACTGCTGGTGTCCATGTGGGTAGGAATCAGCCTTGTAGTGATGTCTCGTATGTACCCGTCTACGGAGTAGTGCAAGCATTCACTTAAATCAATTGGTTACGGGAAATATTCATCACAGATACGTGCCTAACCATACATCCCCCCGCCCACACACACACCCTCATCTAGCGGGCGATGAACTGGCCGAACCAGTTTACACCGCAGGACTCGCCTGTTGCATCGGGGTGGGATGGGGGTGGGGATGTGGGTGGGGGATGGGGAAGGGGGTAATCTATGCATGGGACTTAATGAATGGTTACGTAGGGTGTCAGAATCAGTGCAAAATCAATTTACTTTAGGGAGGAATTAGGCAAGTTCTGCTCCTACGTAAGTTGTTCGGTGCATTTGGGAGGAGCATTATTCACATAGATAAGACAGTAGTAATAGCCTTAGTTCTCGGAAAGAAAACCAGAAGAATGGAGATACAGATGCGTTGGTATTTCGGGAACATGCATTTATGGAAACGAATAGCAGACTTGTCCGTTTTCTTCTGTTATTCGTTTCGATAAAGGCGCGTTGCCGAAATATCAACGCATCTATCTCTCCATTCTCCCCGGTTTTTCCGAACGAATAAGTATGTAAATACTGTCTTATGTAAGTTCTACTCCGTTCAAAATCTGCGTGAGAGGGGTAGATTCGCGAAAGCTTGGCCGAATAAATACCTAACTGATAGCATATTTTGTTGTCTGATTATCATAATAACTACATGAGATTACATGCATGGCGGTCTGCATATCGAGACACGATGCGCAGACCTCTACCTAGTAGTTGGCTAGCTTCACTGGACACGGGTCTATATTTGGTCCCAGCAGAGTCGATATTGAACGTTCGGCTTGATATTAAACTTCCGCGATGTACATACCAGCGAACTTCTTTGGCGTACTTGCCAGTGACTCCACAAGTGATTAAATCGCACACGAACGACTGTAGACCACGACCAACAGTGGGCAGGTCCACAGCGTCCGGTGGAGAGAAATATCGGTCGCCGAATTATCTCAGCCATCAAAGTCCAAGTCAGCATATTGCAGAGAAAACAGGTACCGCGCCGCCCACATATACCTGCAACGCACCCAGGCAACTAGAGGGCTTATAGCACCGACGGAATTCTATGAGCATAACCACCCTCTACTCAGCGACCGACTTAGATGGGTGGCCCTGGCCCACTTGCATGACCGCGGCGGGCCCAGCCGCACCTATTTTAGACGGGGTTAAACGGCGCCGCTGGCCGAGCGTCCGTGATTGCTGCTGAGGCCGTGCGTAACGCGCCCAATCAAAGCCAGCTGCCCGGCCGACACCCCGTCAACATAGCTGTTGGCAGGCGCGTGGACCGCCCAGCCAAGGCTGGCCTGAGCAGCGGAGGCGGCGGGCGGTGGCTGCCGGGCGGCGCAGCATGAGTAAGCTAGCTTTTGAGGGTGCTCTGCGTTCTCAAGCGATCGCCCGGATAACACGGCTTATCAGCGTCTGGCACACAGACAGTGCGTGTTGCCAGCCTGCAAGGCCAACTCAGCATAGTGTTTCGACAAGCTGAATACATGGATACGAGAAATCGTGCTTAGGCTGGGGATAAGCATCAAGTTGATATGCAGTGATACATATATTTGGATATAAATATATTTATATGCATATGTATATATATATATATATATATATATATATATGTATATATGTATGTATATGTATATATATGTATGTATGTATATGTATATATATATATATATATATATATATATATATATATATATATATATATATATATATATATATATGCATATATAGATCAGTACATAAGTAAATATATACACATGTATGTATATACATAGAAACGCAGAAAAGCAGAAATGCCGGCAGCCAGTGCGGCAGTGCGTGCAGGCTGCCAACAGGATGTCATAGAGCGCCGTGTGTAGGGATGGGCCACGTGCCTCGCCGATAAGCTACATAGTAGCAGATAGCACGCGCCACAGGCCATGACCCTGCCAGATAGCGGTCAGCTGCTGCGGGGACGACTCGGCCACCTCGTGCATGTGCCGCTGCCACTGGGCGGTGACGGCAGAGCTGGCGCGGTGCTGTGCTGGCCGCGCACCTCCGAGCCTGCGCGATAGCCGGCGCGCTGATAGCACTGCGCAGCGACCGCAGCAGACCGGACAGCAGCAGCCGCCGGTGGGCGACTGCGCTCCGTCGCTGGCAGCCCGGCAGATAGGCTCGGTGTCGACGCCAGTCTGGGACAAAAGGGGCCAATTATATTCTATATTTTTGACATTAAAAAAAATGTTATGCGTGTCATTTTTGACATTCACACGTTTTGCGTGTTCTCAAGGTCTGTTTTGAACATTAGACGGGAAGGGACAAAGGTGTTTCAATGCTTTTGGCACGCAATATCATTCTGTCGTATCCCAAATTGGCATGAATTTCAACTTTTTAAATGCTGCTCGTGTTGATCAAAGTTAGATTCAGGAGCATAAACAAGTATAGAGCACACCAGAAAATAATGCTTTCTGAAACAAGAGATAGAAAGTGCCTATGATAAAGAGCAACGATATCAAGGACATCGATGTTGATATCTTCAGGAAAGCCTGTGATGCTCATTACTTACCCTGATACGATTCGTTACCAATATAAGTTACCAATACCAAATAAGCGTCCGACAAAGCTGTCGCTAAGCCTGGCGATGGTCAAGCTTAAAGAACATCGATGGACATTATGAGTCGTGGATGCTTTCGCGAAACCCTATGATACGCATGTCTTACCTACGCACGCTTTCTTTCCTTTCATTCGATTCCAGTGAGGGAATGCAGCGACATGAGAAGTGACTGGGCGTGGGTGCTAGTTATTTGGTACTTTAGAAAAAATCAAAGGTTTTGGACGATCTCAATTTTTGGACACTTTTTGGACGGACAGCTGGTCCATCCTTGGACTTCGCATTGCACTATGGTCAAGAAGGCACCTAGTTTGAAGAGCGCATCGCTTAAACCAGCTGCGCGCCGTGCCCAACAGCTCGCCTCAGCTGATATGGCGGCGGCAATGGGATCGTTGAGCCGTTCGATATCAGTGTTTGAAGTGTCGCAAAGGCGTGGGAATCAGGGTGGTCAGGGATGGGTATGCCCCTCTTACTTATGGTGGAGGTTTGACGTTCAGGCAGGGGTGTATGCGATGAATTCTTGAGCCTTTCCTGCCTCTATGGATTTCAACGTCGGTGCACGCTCGACGCATCGAAGTATCCTGCTTCATTTGTTTGTCGCATGCCTTTTTCTTGTATCCGAGAGCTTTTCGCAGACTGAATAAATCCACGGCGTACGAGCTCATCCAGATATTGGACTGGACTGCATTGG